CCCCCCCCCCCTCTCTCTCTCTCTCTCTCTCTCTCTCTCTCTCTGTCTCTCTTCCACCCACTGCCCTGCGCTTCACGTGCGCGGATGTATCCGCCCGCTTCCGACTGTGCTTTTCTTATCCTCCTATCGACGACGGTGCAAAAGAGACGGGGAAAGGGATCCGTGAGGAGAGTCGGATAAAGTGTGACCTCTGAATCAGAAATCTGAGCGTCATTTTTATGGTTAATTATATACTATATCTTTATAGTTAGATCTGTTTAGTATTTTAATTTTTAAAATTAAAAATTTTATATTAAAATTTTATGGAAGTAAGATATTTAATCGTAATGTTATTGATTTTATTGATGGAATATATGTCGTACGTTCATAAATGACATAAAAATGATGAAAAAAATAATTTTAATATTCAAATTACGTTTTCAATGGTGACGGACGACGACATCGTTGGGAGTTATGAGTGACTATTATTGATGAGAAGGAAGAGCGACAACAAGATGTGAGGCAAAATGAGAGGATGAAGACAATGACGCAAATATCGATAATCTATATATACGTCGATGCCGCTCGATGATCGTGTTAACGCCAACGTAAATGCAAAATGACAACATGACCACTTGATATTTGCATTAGCGCTGATAATAATACGAGGAAGGACGACATCGTTCTGCATTGTGTTGATGCCAATGCAGACGCAGTGCGACGAAAGGGTCACTCAACATCTATATCGACATCAACAAAGATGCAAAGTGATGTCGCTCTACATCTGCGTTGGTGTCGACAATAATGCGAGGAAGGGCGATGCTCATCCTTTTCCCCCCGTCCCTAATCCCTTATCATTCTTCTCCCTTTTGTCGCTCGGCATACGCAAGGAGGAAGAAGGATGACTTGACATCCCCACATCATTCTACATCGCTCATCCTTCTCCCCCCTTGTACATGCCAAGCGACAAAAAGGGAAAGAAGGAGAACACCACCCTTCCCCGCATTGTTGTCGGTGTTGACATAATTGTCGAACGATGCCAATGCAAATGTAGAGCATTGGCATTTGCAACATCTTCTTTCTCTCTCTCTTGGCATTACACTATCTCCTTATCCTCCTCCTCCCTTACAAAAAGTCGTAGAAGTCCCTAGCGTTCTCATATGTTGTTAATTAGTCATCATTTTTTAAGTCTAGAAAATCGAAATACTAAAAATATTTAACTACAAAAGATAATCTATAATTATTCATCATTTTCGTATGTTGGTGTGAGGATTAAGAGCATGATTAATTACATATAGACCAACCAAGACTGTATCATATTCCTATGCATGCGGGAAACAAAAGAATCTACGAGCATGATTAGTAGCACCACATTTCTAAGCACATTTTTCATCTTTATTAAATTTTTTAAGCCAAATATTATTGTGGGCCAATAAAAGAAAAGATTCCATAAAATAGTGTATTATTTTTCTCTACTTAAATTATTTATTTATTGATGCATGATTACATGCAATGTATGTGATGCGTCTCATCACATCATACTATAACTCGCACGGCCTAACATCGCAAGGGAACAGATCCCAGTTCTATTGTCGGCTGCTAATACAGGCCACATCGTACTTGCTGTTACAGTAGTAAGCACTGCTCCATTGCCATCGTTCTGCAGTCGAATTGACAGAGTTCATCTCTCCTGTCTAACTTAACCATCATGTTGACATGCAGAACATTAAGCTCCAAGAAAAATTAGCAGTGGCATGAGAATTTACCTCACGAGAACAGCTAGCTAGGAATCAAGAAGCTGTTCTGACCTGTGACTCAGAGGGAGCAAACCTTGATGGATTGATTCATGGCAGGGAAAGGAGGATAACCAGAGTAGATCTTACAGAGAAATAAGAGCCAAGCCATGGTCACATGCATCCATCCACCTCGTGGAAGGACTGCCAGAAGAGAGACTTCTCCAACATTCTCTTGGCGTCCACCACTGCTCGCTCCCATCCTTTCTTCACGAGTTCACCCTGCGATCTCTGGCTTTCTTCTTCTTCTCGCGCCCGCGTTCTACTGTGCGGTCATCCGTTAGCCTAAATCGAGATGGCTGGTGTGGTGTGGTGTGGTTCCTGACACTGTAGTCTATCTCGATCGACCAACCTCATCCATATCCGGAAGAACATCATACGAACAGTTGATTGACGCTTAATGTTGCCTCTTTGTGCCGCGATGTAGCGGCGGAAAGGAATCAGAGATCTCCTCCTGCAGCATCTCAGTACTCCATCTCGTGGTACCGCCGCTGTTGCTTTGCCATTCGCAACAGGCAACGGAGACACAGAAAGTTGGCAGCGAAGAGGCCAAAGCACGCGTTTGTCTCCATCCTCGCGAGGCCTCGGCATCGTATGCGTCAGGCATTTTTTGTTCTCTTGGAGGAGCAAAGCAACAAAAATGGCTGTAGGATCACATGCACCCAATTGTAGCGCATTGCGATGGCAGAGGGTCTCCTCCTCTTTAATGAGCCTTCTGGGTGACCACTTCGACTGGTCCACTTGAGATTGCTGCTGCTCTCTGCTGATGATTACGTACCTCAGCAGCCATGGCTACATGCCTTCTGCTTCGCCCATCCGAGAGTTCGTCATATGATCTTTCTTCTTCGTCTCATCACAGTAATGCTTCTAAATCAATCACTGGAGGGAGGCTCCATAAGCAAACTGCAGTGGCAGATGTCCTGAGTAACTCAAATCATAATGTCGATTGCCACATGAGAATTGAAGCTTCAAAATGCACTTGACATAACACACAGAATTGGCAACTAGAAATCACCACCTTCTTAGAGTTGGCTCTGAACAACATGCCTATTTTGCCTTGCCATGGGACTAACTGACTGCCCTATTTGTTTCTTGTTACCCAACACATATCTTTAGCCTAAATAATCTAACATCCTCTTCTTCTATGATATCTTTAGCTTCGAAAGCTTGCTTTCTCAACTCTAATCTGCATATGAGTTTCTTTAGGTTCGGTTGGCCTGAGAACGACATCAGAAACCGATTTCAACCACTGCTCATCATGATTTTCGTAAGGGTTTCGGAGAAAGGAACACAAAGTTTCCTTTCACTTTTCCCTGTTTTCACTCTTTTCCTTGTGTCCCCTTCCTCCTTTTTTTCTTCTTTTTTTTTCCCTTTCTTTTTGTCTTTCCATTTCAAAATAAGTTGTAATTTTGACTATCATAAATTTGAGCAGGTTTGATGGTTCATTAAGGATCCAAATCGGTTTTCTTTTTCTCAAGATATCTGTATAAGAAGACCTAAGCCAAAAGATCAACCAACCAACTATTGCTTCCTTCGCTTGTCTATCAAGAAATTTCTTTCATTTTCACCTTGATTTTTCTTTTCTTTTATTGTTGCTCGAAGCTGAAAGACGCTACATTTGTACCATACAGAGAGGTTATATGGATGTCAAAGATTGAGTAAATATTATGTTGGAGACATACTTGTACCATGCCATGATCTTATATTGCAAATGCAACGTTTCATGAAAGGAGAACATGCATCAGTTAATATTACGATAGATCAAGTTAACTTCAATCATGAATCAGCTATTTGTAAAAGCAAGACCACATACATAGATTTTTTTTTTTTTTTTCAGATCTGACTATCATTACAAAAATAATAAAAAGAGAATTATATATGCGCTGACATTGAGTTTATGTTTCAATACTGGTATGGTAGGTATATACCAGTTTGACCCAATATTTATATCATTACTCAAAGTATCACATGTATTTATATCATTACCCAATATTTATATCATTCGATGGAATTCACTATTACTACTGTAGGTTTTGTTCAAATACCTAATGGCATCAGGCCACAATAATTGCTACGCGTTTAACAGGTACAACAAATCAAAACATAACATTTTCATTTACTTTCAGGAAGGGTCAAGTAAAACTTACAATCTGCATATGACACAGTTAGCTCACCCGCTCGTGGTAGTATCACAGCTTTACAATGTCATCCCTCTTCACCGTGAAGTCCCAGAGCTCGCCGTACTTCTCATTGAAGTCCCAGATGTCCATGGAGTTGTACTCAGCTATCAACTTGTCACGAGCCGCTCGATCCATGTTATATATCTGAGGCTCAAAATTATGAGGCTTATCCGGCTTCCCCATCTCAATGGCACAGAATACGACGACAAAGATAGCTGCTCCTATGTACAAATACTCACCCTGCCATGGACATTTCAATCAAGGAGTTACATCTCAAATAAGCATCAGATTGTTAGACCTCAGAAACTACTCGGCAAAAGTTCTCAAAAAAATGATCTGCTAAAATCATGTCTAGCACAGAAGAAAACCATTAGCATAATAAGCTATTTGCAAAAAAAAAAAAAAAAGGAATTTTGCAGTTAATTGAGAGACTAATATATGGTCATGTCATAAGTATATGCTTGGATGTGTTCAGGAGATTTAACAGCAAAACACAGTTTTCAAACATATCGTGGAATAATGATCAAGATAAACACATTCGTTATCAATTCAAACAACATTGTTTAGGAAGTGCTTCTGGAGCATATTCTAATTAAATTGAAATATGAGAATTTCTGCCAATATAAATACAAAATTTCACATTTCAAAAGGAGTCGATGAACAGCTGAAGTGAAAATTTGGGAATCTAGAGAAAACATCGATGAAAATGTTTATTTCAGTCAGTTCTTCTTAATTATCTAACCCTGCTGAAACCTTCAAGAAATTCAAAACCAACATGAGGATACTGAATGTTTCATATAAACATGTGACTGTGTGAGAATCCCAGCTCACAAGAAAAAGAGATTCAAGTTTTATTGAGGAATAAAATGTGCTTTCACATCTCATGCTTCATTTGTGCTGCAGCACAAATTGAGTCTTAAACACAATTTCTCCGTAAGATATTGAGAAATGAGAATTTATCAATAGCATGTGTTAAGCAGCAGGAGACTACTTAACTGGTACATGGTAAGCCAAACCAGCTGTGACTGCAGGGAGAAACAACCAAGAAATAAGCCCTGCAAGGAATCGACATGACAAAACTTGGTGATTCAACATGAGAGGAATACAAAATGTTGTTAAAAGAAAGAAACAAGAGAACCAAACAATCTCGACCATCTCACCTTGAAAGCCAGTAGGTGGCTCTGCAGCTTGATACTCGGCCACTACGGCTTCCCAGAAGCCGCCTACAGAGAGGTTAGAAGCAAACAACTCAAAAAGATGAAGAACAAGAATCTCACACACCGTAAGAAGAAGGTGCAGCAACCATCTTTATATATATTGGATTCAGCAGAAATAAGAACAGATATAGAAAGCACACAGGCAACCTTGAACCAAAAGTATCTTATTGACTGTTTCTTCTCGACAATGTCACAAATTCCGTAATTCACTTATCAAACTCTGCGAACGCTATGCTTCTTTGGAAAAGAAAGAGTGGAATTGTTAGAGAAAGAACCTAAAATCGATTAATTTCCCCCCTCTTTTTTTTCCTTTACGCAATTGCATGAGAAAATGACTAATTAGGTCATTAGTATTTAGGAATAGAAGTTAGTGAGCTCTTAAAAGTAATTGGACGAGATCTTTATGTGAAAAACACAATCCACAATTCCAGTGAGCTGATCAAGAAACAACAGTATCCAAGTAAGAATGGTACCTTCATGTCCCTCGTGATACGTGTGGTGCCCATCGTACTCCCCATATATGAAGTCTTCCTGCACACCCCACCAATTTCATCACGGGAAGCACAAAGGTTGGATCTTTTTAGCTGCAGATGACAGGAATTAAGTAAAAGAGATGGCGATGAAGAAACACGGAGCTCACCGCACTGACGCCGTTGGTTCGCCATCGATCGTGCGGGTCCTCTTCGAGGTCGGGCTCGATCTCCGTCAGCCCGGCCCTGGGCCGGGTGGAGCTACGGTCCCGCTGCATCCCCATGCGGAGAAACCCAAGGCTGGGGGTTTCTGCGGGGGGAGCCCTAATCCCGAGTCTCCTGAATGGCTTCACGGCGACCGCCGTGGCCAGGGGCGGTAAGGAGGCCGCGGCGAGGGCAGCGGGAGGCGACGTGGCGACCATCCCCATCTTGTTTTGGTCTGCTTCCCCGCCGTCTTCGTTATCGTTTAGACCCCGTGCAAGCGTGGGAATCTCGTACATGATTCGATGGCTTTCTGGATCGCGTGGTCGATGTAACAGTCAGAACCGTTGGATGCCGATCCGACGGCGAGATTAGAACGATCTACAACGAGTGTTCGTGTGTTGGGACTCACATGGTTTGGACGATGGAAACGGAAACCCATCCGCTACCTTATCCACGCTGGGGATTGAACGGTATACGGACGCGTGTAAGTCACGTGACTATAAGACACCAAGCACGTGGCTGGAATGTGAGAACTGGTTTCTCGATCGCCGAAACTGGTGAGCTTTATGCGGTTCGTATGTGGCCTTGGGGTTGACTCGTCACGAACGACGACTTCTTCCGGGAGCTCAGTTCGAGGGCGTCAGGTTCACGGAGGTTCCCATCAACCGCGGCGTCGAGTTGCATCTTCCTCGCCTTCGCCATGGAATACACGACTTCCAGCTCCCCCACGCCCACCGATGGCTGGTTCAACGTGGTCTGCGTCGCCGACAACCTCTCCCCCTCCGCGGTCTCCTCAATCAAGCAGAGCAACGCAACGTGAGAGTCGCACGCAGAACCTACACTAGTGGTAATAGAAATCGAACAGAGCAACAAGGAAATGCATTAAAGAGACCTTGGAATGCCATGTGCTTCAACACGATCAATTCTTAAGCGTCATCAAAGAAACAGGTGACAGATAATGATGCTGCAATTCCATCAGTGGTAATGTACCTACCATAGTTACCATTTTCCGTTACAGACAAATTTGTGAACCAAGACATACACACAAACACGAAAGTTTCTCTCTTTTTTTTTCCCCTTTTCTTTTGACAATGGGCCAATAAATTCCTGAACGAGCAGCCTTCAGATTGCCATGCAATGTCAGTGTCAATCTGTACTGAGTTTACCGCTCCCATCCATCTTATAAGATTATGCTACAATGACGGGCGTAGAAAGACCACAGCCACAGGGATAAAATGAATTCAACAGCCATCACCAAATAAAAAGAACTAAGAATAGATAACAAGCAGACCGCCCATACTTGCCTCCAGAACGCCATCTCTCCTCTCTATCTCTCTCTTTTCTCTTCCTTTTGCTCCTTTAAGAGAAAAGAAATGAGAACAGGTAAAAGAGGATACAGCACTGTATTGTTAGTTTAGTTACCATCTTCTGACTTCCCTTTGTCATCAGAAGAGTGATTCCACCAGCGACGGAGATGCCAGGGTAGCCACACACTCGAACTGTCAAAAAAGCGACGCAGATGTTTCAGCATTACAGAATAAAATAATTGCATATTATTAAAGACTAGCAAGAGATTCATGAAAGGAAGGAAAAATTTTAGGAAATTCCAAACCGCAAGTACCAGCTGATTTTTTTATATTTCTGTTAAAGAACTATCAACAATCCGGTCATTGGTATGGACCCAGTTGTCTTATTGTATGATCTATCATTGCAGCAGGTTTATGAAGCTCGGGAAAACTTAATAGGGAAATACCTTTTGCTGCCTATACTTTTCACGTATGGCATTCAATGGACAACTTTTGCTGTTCTTCTGTAGCTCTTGCAATGCAAAGACGGTCGCCTTCAGATCCATAGCTGTGTACGAGGTGTAATACTCAAGGGTTGGATTCTGCATTTAAGATCAAACTGCATTTATGAAACCATCCTATTATGACACATAAGTGTAACGAGGAGTGTAGATAGCACTCGCACCCATGGATGGTCTGACTGATCCAATGTCCATCTAGCAAGAAATACGGCAGATGCAGCAACGACTGAAGGGAGAAACTTTATGAAGCTATACTCCACCAATGTCAACTCCGCCAAGTAGTTGGCCAAGTACCCCAAGGCTAAAGAAGGAACCTGCAGCTCCAACAAAATATGGATCATAAAGAGCCTTTTTTGCTAAAGTATGAAAGTAAAATGTGCTCTCGGATATATTTGGATCACGTCTGTTAACATTAAATACCTTATTTGAAGCATGAGCAGCACGCAAAAACCTCCTGCGTATGACCGCATGAGTTAGTTTACATGCCAAAATTAATGTACCAAGCATTTAATGACTCTGATTTGAAGAAATTGAAAATACTATCAATTGAACTTTCTAATACCTGAGAAATGTTTTTGCGGTAGGTACTGAAAGTTGAAAACCTAAAAAGCCAAGCACTTGACTCTCCATGTTGAGCACCTGTTAGAACCACCAATAATTATAGGGTTGACATCTCATGTCCTCAAAAAACTGAACTTCCGTTCACAGAATTGATGATGCAAAAAAATCTTCATACATAATAAAGTACCTCTGCCTTGGAGTATGTGTTATCAGTTATAAAACAGAATTCTTCTACACGTGGTGCACACATTTCTTCATACTTCCTGTGTAAAGGACAAGTTATCAGTGTGTCAGCTAACCGAGGACGCATACAGTTATTATTTCCAAAGTAATCATCCACTAAATATGCAGCTAGAGTAAGATGTTACTGAATCTCTATAAAAAGGATCACAGTTTTTTAATATCATGTGTCAACTCAACATTGAACCTCCTCCAACCAATGCCAAGTACATCAAAAAAATAGTTAGCCAGATCTAATTCATACAATTCATATCTGACCATCAAAGCGACAAAGGAAAAATGATGGAACGCAGAAAAAGAGGGTATTTGTCTCACATGGTCAGTTTATGGCCAATAACGAAGTTACCAATTAGTCAACATATAGAATTAACTACAAATGTTCTCTAGCCAATAATTGAAGTCTTGATCTGATGCCAATTGTGACACCTTCTCAAACCATTACAGTATCAATTTTATCAAATGGTATATCATATTGTACCATGCAGTATTATTAAAACAATAATACAAAGAACAAATGCCAACTAAAACTGAGCTGTATGTTCCAATATCAGTCCTTGATCGGACCAGTAAATGTCAGTTGATACATACCATTCTGATATATCATTGAAGCATTATTTGGCAATTTGTGTGTACACTTTAAATATCATAACATTCAAAGCCGCATATGCAATTTGATAATCCTGGACATTTAGAGGACAAGAACTTCTAATCATCAAAGATTCCAATACTAACAACAACAGCAACAGCATTGAACTCAACATCATCATCTAGTGTGACAGAAACACCAAGGGAAAAAGAATCTGACAAATAATAGAATCTTTGCAGATTAAGAAAAAATTAGATGAAGTTTTAAAAAAACACATTATTAATCCTTGACTCTGTAGAAAAGAAGACGATTAAGCTGCAAGTCTGAATATAAGCTTACGAAGCAATTAGCATGCATGTAATGCCAAGCAGCTGCAACCTTTGTCTTTCAATATAGTTTTGCGAGAGAAACTGGTCAATTATATATACTGTAAGATAGAGTGTATCTGGAACAAGTCTGTATTCCTCAGAAACCTGAAAAAGAAAATCGCAGCTGAATAAACTGTGCAAAATAAAGATAAAAAACACACAAGCATCAGGACTAGGTTAAAGATCACCAAGGTCAGTTAGGATCAAGTTTTGAGTAAAGATTAATACTCAAGATAATCTTGGAAACTGAGTAATCTACCAGCCATGCTAGCCTGTTATGCAATACCACATTACCGTGCATGTTTCTAGAATCTAATATCTGCAGAATATTCTGCCATATTAAAAAAATATTAAAAAAAACATTCAAGTTGGGCTTCCAGGAATCTTCCATTCAGGAGGCAGCAATCACATCCAAAAGAAATCTCTGAGCATTGTGACCAATTTCTGACACCATCATAAGGTAGCAATAACTTTAAGCAAACCACACATCATAACACAGTTTGCCTGATGGTTCCCCCAAAATCAGTAAACCATAAAAACTTTGTACCTTCATCAGCTTGATTTGTCAACTACACACACAACGGTGATTTGTAGATACCAGCAGTCATTTTAAATGAACCATGTACTTCTAGAAAGATCATAAACTGAAAATGGAAGGATGAGAAACAAAATTTTACCCAGAAGAGTCATTTGATCTATAATTAAGCACTACTTTGTAAGAATGTTATTTCACAACACAAGAAGGAACAAACTGAAGCAGAATATCCACTGGCTTTGAGCTACATTTGCTAAATCTAAGATGAAAATGATGCCATCTCAGATGTTGAAATGCTCAAGTAACAAATGGAAGTAAATGACTTAAAGCAAATTATCTAATGAAAACTCAAACCATGATGAATGAGTCCATGAAATTCCTTTCAGATTCAAATATTCTTTTTAAGGCCAAGATACATAATAACTGACGAGTAGTTTTGCCATGTTGATAGTAGAGTTCAAAGGAAGATGATCAGAAGTTTGAGCTAGCAAACCTCCACAAGCCAATCTATTAGAATGCCCCGCATGCTCTCAGTGATATCCCGCTGCAATGCTTCCATAAAATTAGACACCGGTCTCCGAATGAGCTAAAAAATTAAAATTAAAATGTCAATAATCACAAGTTAAAAGTTCCACAAGACAATGCCTAGAAAGGTAAAGCAAAAAACATTAATTGTTAACATCATAGATAAGGAATGGCGAAAGAATTTGTGTTTAGCTGCATTTTGCAACACTAATTCTGCATTTCTGCATTGAACATATAAAGCCCTATCACAGAACTAACTGGAGAGAGAATATCTCTGTTTAAGGCAAAAATACCAACAGATTGGAGCAACAAGCATATTAGGTAATACCTCTGCAGCACGAAGATTAGTATAGAATTCTGAGGCATAAGTGCAACACATTTGAGGATTTCCATGGTCTGTATCAATATCTATAAAGTCCAAGCCACTGCACCCCCCTGGATAATCATAAAGCTTAACAGTATTATTGACAAAACTTAGTCATGAAATAATCATAACTTCACAATAGTCAAATTAGAGAAAAGAAGAAAATGGCACAGAAGGTTATCAATGAATTCCCGAAATACTCCTAAGGATTAATAATAAGTTACTTTCTTATAATGTATATAAAAAGTAATGATTTAAGTACAAACACAAATGTCACCAACTGCCATTCCCAAATGTGATGTTCTGGGTGGCACGAATGGTGCAATCATATATTGAATTTATCATTCAGAGGGAAAAGGTACAAGGACTGGAAGCTAACCATTCTTTGCGTGATTTATGAGGTCATGATTCCCAACAGAGTTATGCCCTTCAATCAAAGTTGTGATATGTATGCTCTCCCCATCCCTGGTGATTTCCTTCTGCTGTAATGCCATCAAGGAGTCTTCCACTTTTTCTAACGGGTATGATTCTTTTGACACAAGTGTCACTGCATTCTGTGCTCCTTCAATTATTTCATTTTTCATGTCAGCATAAGTAGGCGTGTTTCCAACTATGGCTAACTCTTTGTGCTGTAATGCTACCAAGGAGTCTTCCATATTTCCAAATGGGGGAGATCCTTTTGACACCAGTGTCTCCACCTTTTGCACTCCTTCATTCATCTTATCTTCCACGTTTGCTAAAGTTGAGGCATTTCCAACTAGAGATAACTTAGACGTCTTAGAGTTGGAATACCTTCTGGTTTTTGAAGGACCTGATTTAGCCCTTTGGGCAGTGGTAGACTGGAGCATCAAAAACATTGTGATCAAGACTAATATTCAAAAACCTGACCAAATAAAAGGATAGCAAAGTTTGACCCAGAAAGAAAACAAGAACAAAACATACTAACTGACATTACGGAACTTGCAAACAGATAAAAAAACACAAAGAAATATTTTTCCTTTTGCTGCAATATATTTCTTTTTTCTTTCTTTAAAAGTGAAGCATGTCCTATATGAAAAAGATGACTAAAACTATTGAAGGAAGATTCAGTAGCCAATGAGAGACAACACTGAACCTTGACTTTCCCCGCTGGTACCCAATTTCTGGTGGAATTCTGAGAGAACATATTTGTGACATCTGTAAGCACTGCACGCTTTTTCTTGCACTGTGAAGCTGCTGGATGGGAACCATGACTGTTCTCATCAAAAGCTGCTCTCTTTAAGTTGCTGCAGCGTGTCTGCTTCTTCTCTGCATTCGCAACTGATGGCATCAAGGGAGGAAGTTTTCCATTTGCACGGCAAGCAGCAGCCCGAGCTCGTGTAATTCTCCCACAAGGGGCTTCAAAACTCGTGCCCAAGGAACCTTCCTTCTTCATTGCCGTGCACACATCAAGAAGAAAAGAAAGCAGGATTCTCAAACAAAGTGCTCATGTAACCTAGAAATCCGGAAAAAAAGATGTAGTTACTCTCCAAGGTCAGTTATCTTATGCACATTAAAGACACAGAATATAGACGTAATGAATTATTATTTAAATAATATAAACTTTCTGATCATCAACAAAATGCCAAGTGCTAACTTGCTTGATTGATTTCATAAAACACAAAGTGCACTTGGCCAAGAAAAAAAATCAATAACAATGCATTTTCTGGTGGTTTACCCTAATTAATCTAAAATAAGTCCAGGAGACAGTTCCAGGTCATGCAAGAGAAAACAGCTATTCCACAAATTAAAGGCAAAATTGTAGATTTTCAGAGTTACAAATACTGATTTAATCACCAAATTACTCTTAAGCATTGGCAATCATTTGCAAGTTCAGAAACAAAGCATTTATTTTCATAGAGTACCAAGCCCCTTTTAAAAATTCATGATTCCCCATATATACTTTAGTACCTTACAATATGCTTTGTAATTGCAAGATAGTGATTTCCAATTCATAACGATTTGGGCTTCTGAGAATCTCACGATGAGATTATTGAGATGGATGTATAGAGAAATAATGCAAAACTTGACAAAGATTGCTTTGTTCTGGCAAGCAGTTGGAGGTGGTGCCAATTGAGGATGATATGTTTCATTCGTCCAGAAAACCAGGTAAAACAATGACGAAATTTTCATAGCTGACTATATAAGATGCGTCAGATATGTAAAATACTCGCTGCAGTTGGCCATTAAATAGCCAAGATTACCCTTTCGCACCACATCATAAGCAAGTTAGATCAAGAACTTCTGAGTTAGAATAGGTGAAAGATTACTTTTGCATGAAATTTGTCACAAGAAATGGTATACTTCCCTTGAAGATCAAGAGGGAAAGAATAAAATGGTCACACGATAGTGGCGACTCTCTCGGAAAATAAGATAATATACGAAGGTCTTGATCCGGGAGCACATGACAAAATCACTTTACAATTCTATCCTACGATACATCAGATCCATGCATCCCAAGCCCAGCAAACCCTAGATCCGGCGCAAGAACACAACGAAGCACATCCGAAAGCACGATAAAAGGTAAAATCACGGCAAGAAGCGTATGAAAAACAAGAATAAGAACGAATCACATGGGATCCAAAGAACGAACCCTACGATGACCCCCACCCTCGCCGCCGCAGAGCCCACGGCAGTCGCGGCCGGCCGCAGAAGCTACAACGTCGCCCTCGCATCAAAGAAACGAGATCGAGGACAAGCCGAAGCAAGCAACCTCGAAATGCAGCGGTGCGACTCAGAGATGCCTTCCGACGCCCTCTCGCACTCTCGTTCTCTCGCTCTCGATTTAAGAGGCGGAGGGAGACGGAAAAGGAAAGGCGATCGAGAAACCCCTCAAATTTTGCCGCTCGAGTTGCATTTCAAATGCCATCCCGGTCGTGTCGGGTCGGATCTTGTAGTTCTTCAGCCCGTATGATAGATCTCGTTACGACCGTCAGATGCTGATCCAAGGGACAGAAAAGGCCTCATTCACTCGGGTCGGATTTAGATCTTGGATTTGAGGTGCGCCGTGACTCATCTGCAGTCTTTCGAGAACATGCCCATAATATATATATATATATATATATATATATATATATATATATATATATATATATAAACAATTGTTAATTATTAACTGAAGCATTAATTTGTGTTAATATTATTTCAAAAACTATGATACTAAAAGTATTAGAGATAATTTAGATATCTTCGTTTGATATGCTTATACGACTCAAACAAACAATATTAGCGAAAGTTACAGACAAATTTATGGATGCCAACTAATATCAAAATTCAATTCATTGTAAGTTTAGAAGGTTCCTTTTACAAATTGATACGTATTTTATGGATGAATGTTAGATTAGAAATCTAGCAAATCAAGCTTTGATTTGTAATCACGTGCATGAATTCTCCGTTACTATTTTTGTTAACGATAATGTGAATAATGTGGGTGTACATAAATAAAAATGCACGATAAAAATGTGGTTATCGTGTCATCCAATTTAAGATCTAAAATGTCAATCATTATGTATGAATTGTCACCCCAAGAAACTAAAGATTCGATGTGTAGAATTGTAATTATAATTGTCTCTGTAAATAGATGCCATCCTTTTGATATAGAAAAACACATATACACTCCCCGCCACCCTTATGGATCCAAATGGTCAGGCAGCTGACTCTCATTTGACTTTTAGTTTAACATTTTAAATTATTGTAATAGGACGATTTTGCTCCAAAAGATTCACATTTGGATTTTTCTTTCTCGAATAACGTCATTTTAATTCAAAAATTCATAAAATTATTCCTAAAAATTGATTTTTTTTTTATTTATTTCTTGATGATAATGTTTTGATTAGTACAGTAGTTTTGATCTATCATAATGTTTTGAATATTACAATAAAATTATTATAAATTAGTTTTAAAGAATCAAAACATACTAGAAATGTTAGGACTTTAGCTATGAGAGTCATAATTGAGAGGGACATTCATGTAAAACCTACCTAAGCCGACCCCTATTAAAGAGTTGAAGTGGCCGACTAGAGTTAGGAAGTTATTTCTTAGAGAAAAATAAGGAGTTGTAAAGGAATAGGAGTCTTGAGTATGAGTTATATTAGGAGTTGGTTAGAAGTAGGAGTCTTAAGTAAGAGTCCTATTAGGAGTTAGGGTTTAGAAGCTCTATAAATAGTCATATATTCCACCTCTTTTGATAAGCAATAGATGAATCTTTTCTACAGCCTTTGAGCAGCAACTTGGAGGGAGGAACCCCTATAGAGTTCCAAGGAGGCTGATCCCATAAAAAGATCAACCCCAAGTTTAGAATCTACAAGGGTTCTAACAAGAAACCATTCGATATATCCTACTCCAAATTTAATAGATATTTTTATAATAGTTTAATAATATTATTATCTAAATAAATATTTAAAATTAATTTATTATATATTTTTATCATCATAATAAAAATATTATAAAACATACTTAAAAATATTATAAATGAGCCAAATAAACAAATAACCTCAACCAAACTAACTACAAATCTAAATATATGATATTGTGATTTGTAAGTACAAGATTTCCAAACTCCAAAAGAATTTAAATGTAAAAATATTGTCATTTAAAATAAAGGAAACCAACCACAATGAATATTCTGTCCAAGATTCCTAGCAAAAGGAGATTCTCTCGGAGATCCATTTACACCATGGTCGGACCTCACGTGGGCATCGTCGGTCACTGTCATTACAACGTCACCGATCGTTTTCGGTCTCATATCTACCGTCCATTTTATTGCGATCAAGCGATGGCCACGTCTCGCCCCTACCCCCGCCTCATCGGTGTGGTGGACCGCAGCTCACCCTTCCGCCAATCCGCGCTCCTCTTTCGTTGGCCAAACCGCGGGGCCAGCGCTGGGTCCCACACTTCCGCGGCTGTGGCGGGTAATTTGGAAACCGAAAAAGAATTCCGTACTTTTTTATGATTCGATTTGGGCCGTTGGATGGTGCGCCCAGCCGTCTGATATTAGTACCTAAGTTTCTACATGTAATTTCTCGCTAGTGTTCTGGACACGTGGCTGGACGTCCTCCGTCCGATTTCGACCCACTCCCATGCCGAAATAATCGACGCCCTAACCCATTGGATCGATTGGGTGCAACTGCGGGACCCTCAAGACTACCCTCGCCGTCCCACATGGTGGGTCCCGCGTCGTGTCCCTTACAAGGAGTCAAACTTGGCAGGCCGAGCCAGTAATTAAAATGAATATAAATATATTATATTTAATTCGTAGGAAAAGCCAAAGCCCCAAGCTTCCGCTCTCCCTCTATATAATGGCCGGCGTGTACCTCGAGTAGCCACCGAGATCTCATCTCGCACGCCTCGCCATCGCTCTCGCTCTCTCTCTCCCTCGCCTCTCTGCTCAAGTCTCCGTTGAATCGTCGAGGTAAATCTCTGCCTTGTCGCGAGACTCGTGTGTCGGTGTTCTTGTTCTTGGTTATCTCTTTTGCCCGTCAGTTTCTCATCGTCTTCTGTATCGTTCTCGTGGAATGATGTCGAGTAAGGGCTTAATTCCTTTTTCCTCGGCAAATATGTTGAAGATTGCTGGATTTGTGGTAGGGCACTGTATGTTGGTCGAATTTTTACTGTTGTTGCCCACGTTTCCCCTGCCAAAATTCCTTCTTTTGCCTCGTTTTTGTATGATTGCTTCGTGAATCATGTTTGTCTTGTCCTCTTTGGAATTTTTAACTCTGTGCAGGGAAGGATGTATTTTGGATGGCATTAATTATTGCTATTAGCTTTTTTCTCGTTCTTTTTTTGTTATCTGTGATTTGTATAATATTGGTACTCCTCCTGATTTATTCTTGTTGCATATGGATTGAACTGAGTAGTCTATGAATGGCGTAGATTCGCACGCGTTGTTGGTAGTTGTGATCATTAGTGTCGGGCATTCAGGTACCAGAGGTCATTTGGTTACTCCAGCTTTTGATATGTAACTCTTCTCCGAGGCATGAGTTAGTGGATTGCAGTCCGCATTCAGGCTTCAGATTTGTACCTTATTTCTGAGGCGTAGGCAGTTTTATTTGTGTTCCTTACATAACTTGTTGTTAGGTTAAGTCGCAACATGTCCCCTTTTTGTTTGTTTCTCATACACTATCCGTCACATGCTTTTTCTTAGCTTTTTGCCATGTTCCTGCTCAAATTCTTGTTTTGCCAATGGAAAACTTTTGTCTTTCAGGTTTTTTAGATTTAATATTTTTTATTCCTTGCTCATGACTTGCTACATTGATTTTCCACCATGGAAGTTGTTCTCCCTTCTTGTCTTGCTACTAGTGGTTTGATTCGGACTTAAATGTGCTTCATCTTTTTCCCACCTTTTTGGATGGCTTTCTTGAATTACTTTTAGATACCTTGCTTTTGATATCTTATGGTCATTTTATATTTTCCATCAGAAAAAAACTAAACCTAAATATCTTGTAGAATGGGTAGCACCACTGGAAATGATGGGACCGACTACGGAGCGTACACTTTTGCAAACTTAGAGAGGGAACCATATTGGCCTTCTGAGAAGTTGCGGATTTCTATCACTGGAGCTGGAGGATTCATCGCATCTCACATTGCTAGGCGTCTGAAGAATGAAGGTCATTACATTATTGCCTCTGATTGGAAGAAGAATGAGCACATGACCGAGGATATGTTCTGTCATGAATTCCATCTTGTCGATCTGAGGGTCATGGATAATTGCTTGAAGGTCACTAGTGGGGCAAACCATGTATTTAACCTTGCTGCTGATATGGGTGGAATGGGTTTCATCCAGTCCAACCATTCAGTGATTTTTTACAATAACACTATGATCAGTTTCAACATGCTTGAAGCTGCAAGGATTAATGGTGTGAAAAGGTAAATAATGATTTTATTCCTTAGTACCTAATTTATAATGGGGTTTGTCCTATAGTATCAAAGGATGCTGACTTTAAAATTTCCATTTTTATGTTCTGTAAGACAATGTGATTAAAGTATTTAATCAGTTGACATGAGATTTAATTGTTATTTAGGCATGCCATGCTCTTGTAAGTATTATGCTTTTATATGTAAAACCTGTGTCTCTAATATCTGACAAATGTAGGTGTGCTGTCAAATATCAACCAATATAATCAGGCATCCAAGAATATCTCTGTGTTTGGTTGTATAAAACGAGGCAAAACTGAAAATTATTGATTGACCTTTTCAGATGTGTTTGCTGACCATTTCATTTGGCATAGTATTATTATATGTGCACATGAGGAAATTGTGATTTTCATATTTAGATTATTTAGTGGTTTTAATAAGGTAAATACATTCACTTGTCTTAGTTGGAACAATTAATAATAGATGTAGAGTTGAAAAACAACACCTAATTGATAAGAAAATATCTGATTATAATGAACCTTAGGTGTTCTGATTTTGTTTATACACCCTATGACCCTACTAGCCTTACCAAGCATGATCAACTTGATGGTCAGGCCTTTTTTGGCTGCTGGTCACCTTTTATATTATTTTGGCATCTTATAGGCAGCCTTGGGACCACCAAGTTGAGGGCCAGCCAATGCTTAATGGAGACTTTTACTCTCATGCTTCAGTAATTCTTTGTCTTGAACCAATAATTTTTGGAGCATGTCCTTGGTTTGATATATCAGTACAGCTTACCTGTCTGGATTCCCTTCTTTGATATAGTTGTACATATTTCATGTATAAATCTACACATATGTGGATGAAAATAAGGACGAACGTCATGTTTGGCTGAAGAGGTCTTTTGCATGTTTTAAAGCAAATTTATGGAATATGATAGGAAAGTTCCCATTACTGGCTTGGTCCATCTATTTAAGGGCTTACCATTTACCATTTGTCATGTTAAATTACAGGCAGGATTGACTTTCTAAGCTTCCCTGCTTTAATTTTTAGATTCCTGTGATGGTCATGAAAGCATTTTATCTATCATTTATGATCTCTTGCAAAATATTCATAAACATGATTCCTCTAAAACAAAGATATTGGTCTCTCTTTTTTAAATCTACGCTTCTTTGGCTTGCCTGATAAGTAATGAACTCGGTGAACTTTTGTTCAAATTTGTGTCTTGTTCTAAGTTAACTAATTCAAACAGAACTTTGATATGAACTCGTGCAGGTTCTTTTATGCCTCAAGCGCTTGCATCTACCCTGAGTTCAAGCAGTTGGACACCAATGTGAGCCTGAAGGAGTCTGATGCTTGGCCTGCTGAGGTTCGTTGATCATAAAACGTCCATATTGTTGGTTGGTTTTGATTCTATTCTCTGACTGTTGAATAGAATATCATTTCTTGCATCCACTTCAACTCTAATGTGTAAGTGCAATCTGATAATTATTCTGGTCACTGCAGCCTCAAGATGCTTATGGCTTGGAAAAGCTTGCTACAGAGGAATTGTGCAAGCACTACAATAAGGACTTTGGCATTGAATGCCGGATCGGAAGGTTCCATAACATTTATGGTCCCTTTGGAACTTGGAAAGGTAAGTGATGAGTCATAGACTAATCCAAAATAAAATCTTGCTTTGAGGTTGCTTCAGCTGCTGATACTGTTCTGACTATCCTTCAGGTGGGAGGGAGAAAGCCCCTGCTGCCTTCTGCCGAAAGGCAATAACATCTACTGATAAGTTTGAGATGTGGGGAGATGGTCTGCAAACTCGATCCTTCACCTTTATTGATGAATGCGTTGAAGGTGTTCTAAGGTAACAACAATGCCAAATGCCACATCTTTTTAATGCTAATATTGTACCACAGCCTGATGAAGTTATGAACCTCAGCAATTCTACTGGCTTCACCTGATGCAAGGACCATCTCTGAACAGCTGTTTTAGTTAACAATCAACCTAAGGACACCTAACAAATTGCCTCGAACTTATTTGCCTATGTTCAGATTGACAAAATCCGACTTCCGAGAGCCAGTGAACATTGGCAGTGATGAAATGGTGAGCATGAATGAGATGGCTGACATGGTACTCAGCTTTGAGAGCAAGAACCTTCCCATCCATCATATTCCTGGACCTGAGGGTGTCCGTGGTCGCAACTCTGACAACACTCTGATCAAAGAGAAACTTGGTTGGGCTCCATCTATGAAACTAAAGGTACATACACAACAATTTCTTTTTTTTTTCTTCTTTTTATCCCATATGTTTTAAGTTCGTGTGTTTTTCTGATGTATGATTCTACTTTAATGATGTCGACAGGATGGCCTCCGAATCACATACTTTTGGATAAAGGAGCAAATCGAAAAAGAAAAAGCTCGGGGACAAGATGTGTCTGTTTATGGATCATCCAAAGTTGTAGGAACGCAAGCACCAGTGCAGTTGGGTTCTCTCCGTGCAGCCGATGGAAAAGAATGAATCCAACATCCAGGATTTAGTACCGGTAGCTTTAAGACACCGGCATGGAAGAAAATACAACAAAGTCAGAGAGTCGAAATCGGTAGATTTGCTTTGTGTTATTTCATATCGTAGCAAGTAAGGTGGTGTTTGTTCTGCCTTGTTTGTCGTTCCTCGGATTCGCCTTGTGTTAAGGTTAATATCATCATCATCGTAGAGACATCGCAATAGTCTTCGTGCCTATTCTGAATCTAAAACGACATAACAACAAATAGAAAAGGAAAGGCTATTGTTGGAAGTCATCTTTCTTTTCTGGATGCAATTTTGGTTGTTTGCAGCATTCTTGGAGGAGCTACTGACGCCAAACTGTATCTACAAGTGATCTCGATTGGATCCGAACTCTCTCCATGTGATGTGACGGATAACCTAAATCGTACTTAAACGATATTTGAAATGTTGGTTTTTTCTCCGTAGATGATTAAGAGAAAAGGCATGCAAACTTGGAGAAACCCGACCAGTGTAGGCTCACACCCAAACTGGATCCGAAATGAGATAAGCTTTCGGATCGGTCATGGGCCTCGATAGACCCGCAACCGTCGAGTTGGATCTCCGCGTTTGGGCTGAAGGAAGCAAGATGGGCCGGATGGGTTTCTACGTCAGCGAACGACTCATCGAGGCTATTTTCGTCATTACAACGTGGCTCAACCCAACCGTGTCCTTCGGTCCCTCTATTTTATTCCACGCGTGGAGGGCGTTAAGGGTATTTTCGTAAACTAAGCTTCGATCCAAATTGCCAATACCACCCTCCTCTTCATCTCTTATCCCCAGCTACGCCCCTCGGCCTCTCGAACCCCCCCCTCTCTCTCTCTCTCTCTCTCTCTCTCGCCGCGCACGAAGCCCCTCCTCCGTCCCCTGTTCTCTTCCTCCGCTTCGCCCTTGAGAGAAGGAAGCGAGAGAAGAAGACTTCCCGTACTCTCGGCCTCGCGAATCGATTAGGGTAGATTGGCCCCCCAGATTTCGATCGCTCCCTCCCTCTTGGCTGCGTGATTTAGGGTTTTTGCGGTTCCACTGCTCCACCACTGTTTTTGGGTGGGTGTTTATTCGTGAACGGGGTTTTCTCGGTGAATTTAGGGTTCCAGGTGTCTTTTTCGTAAGCTTGTTGCTTTTGGATTGGGGTTTTCATTGACGCAGTCTTGGGTTTTAGGCAGTCGAGAGAGATGGCGGGAAAGGGAGGGAAGGGGCTCCTTGCGACGAAGACGACGCGGCAAACAAGGACAAGGACAAGAAGAAGCCGGTGTCCCGCTCTGCCCGTGCCGGTTTGCAGGTGCGATCGGTTGATCTCCCCCCTACTCCATCTCCCTCTCTCTATCTTAAGTGTTTCGAGGCCCATTGAGCTACCTAAAAACTTAGGACCTCGGGCTATTTATCGTTCTGTTCGAATCAAAACTGTTTCTTTGAGTTCATTCTGCCTGTGGATGGGTTAAGCAAGATCTAAATTCTCTGTATTAACATTTTTGTTAGATGGGTTAAATAGGTTTGTAGTTCTTATCATGAAATTTTCTGTTGCTGGTAATGCTGTACGGTAGTAGGATGTATGCTGTTGAGGGAAATTATCGTCGACGTCCCCAAACGGCCTGCCATGGACGAAGACTTCGTCCATGCGGCCGGCACAGCGAGACAGCCCCAAAAAAGTCCACGTGGGCAGACATGCGAGGGTGACCTGGATCTCTCTTCTTCCATGACAGCTTTCACGTGATGCTTGTATGTCGGATGATGATTGATCGTTAATATATTTACCATCAGCCATTAATGTTTTCCTTATCGTATGCTTCTTTTAGAGGCGTGCTTTCGAGCTAATTTTTTATTGTTTGGTCAAATACTTTGATGAGTGCTGAGAACTAATGATGCATTTCTTTTTGTACTTAGATGATAGCAACAGATGGGAAATAGTGATGTTGAATGAATCATTCCAAATTGTTTAACTTTAATAGGGAGCTTTCAAAGTGTCATCCCCAGAACTGGAAAGGCTTTGTCGTCGATCCGATTTCATACATGTTATAGTGACCTCACTTTCATAACAAATTTATCGTACCCTTTTAATGACGAACTGCATTCATGTTAATTTGTGTACAGTTTAGTGACTACATACATTATACCAGTTTCATTTGAAGGCTGTTTCTACCTATTTGAAGATGGAGATTAGTTTGAATGCCATGCATCGTATTCTTACACAGCAATATCGCCTTGTAAAATAGATCTTGCTTATGCATCTTAAGCATAAGATGAAGATTAGTTTGAATGGCGCAGCATCTTATGCTTACATAGCACGGCCTATTGCAATCGGCCATGTGTTTTATGAGGTGATCATCGTGTGGGGTTGATGAAACTTGTAAGTGAAATAGTTGCCTTTGAGGAAATGGGGAAAAGAAACCTTTTAATGTTTAGTATTTGTTTGGATTTGCCATCGGCATTTGTTAATGTTGTTTATGTTGCTTATTTGTTGTTGTTGTGCTCATGGTATGTGTAGTTCCCTGTTGGTCGAATTCATCGGCAACTGAAGTGAAGGATTCAAGCAAATGGTCGTGTCGGAGCAACCGCAGCTGTGTACTCGGCAGCAATATTGGAGTACTTAACAGCAGTAAGTGTTGGAGCTTGCCGGCAACGCTAGCAAGGATCTCAATGTAAAGCGTATCTCACCGCGCCACCTTCAGCTAGCCATTCGGGGGGATGAGGAGCTTGATACCCTCATTAAGGGCACCATCGCTGGTGGTGGAGTCATCCCCCACATCCACAAGTCCCTCATTAACAAGTCTTCCAAAGAGTGATTACGCCATTTCTGTTGGTTCACTGTGAAGCTGTGGTGGGTGGTTTATTCGAACCAATTCGATTGTGCTAACTTTTCTTAACATCAGTTCTCACGAAGCTATCTTCAGAATTCTGGTTCGAGTGCTGCTTCATGTACGAGGGCGAGAGGTGTGTGCGCATAAAGATGTGCACCTCATCCAAATGGGTCTTGCATTTCTCTTGCTTTCCCTGTTGATCTGAAACTGAACGATGGCGAGAGGTGTGTGCGCATAAAGATGTGCACCTCATCCAAATGGGTCTTGCATTTCTCTTGCTTTCCCTGTTGATCTGAAACTGAACGATGGCGATATGCTTCTTGTTTTGTGTTGTATTTGCAGATGCTTGATCTGTGTTGTTGATTGATCTCTCTTTGTTGTCATCTGTAGGCTCTCTTTTTATTCGGTCGTTTTTGGTATAGCATTGCAAATTTTAGTGTCCATTAGAAAGATGAAGTCAGTAACACCCAACTGATCAAGAGCTCAAGAGCTCTACCTTGATACTTACTTTGTACTAACTTAGGTATCGTAAGGATGAAATCGGTAACACCAGCTCTATCAAGCCTTGACACTTTGGCTCTAATTCGGCATCCCGGCTCATGTCGGATTTACTTTTGCGTCGGCCGAGTCATTTATCCCTGCTCATGTCGGATTTACTTTTGCGTCGGGCCTAGTTGTTTGTGGAGTGCAACTCTTCTTTGTCTGGTGGAGATCATCTCTGACCCAAGAAACCGGGAGCTTCTCATTTCATGGCGGATGGTCTGCACCTGTAGAGTACCTACCTAAGATTCCACATTTGAAACCCAGGAGGGAGGGAGGGAGGGAACTGGTGGCACTCAGCTGTAAGTTTCGAGGACGAAGGTGCCAAATGATGGGCGAGGAGGAAAGTTCTGGGACCATCCTGCTCGGCTACAATCCAAGCCATGAAGCTTTTCGAGGTGCAAGAGACTTGCAGCAGAGGAGTGCATTGTTCCATCCGTGCTGTTCATCTTGTCCCCGTCAAGTCCGACTCATGTCATCTGCACAATCAACTCATCTCCTCCGTCGATAAAGATCCTAAGATCCTAATGCAACAGTGCACATGAATCGTTGGGAGTGAGCTGCCAATGCAAACCAGCACTTCCTATCAGTATCACCACAGGCTGACAGTTCTCTTCCAAAACTTGTACTCCCCAACTCAACCATCAAATCTCCATTTCATGCAACCCAACACATTTACCTTCCTCTCCTCCCCCCCCCCCCCTTCCCTCCTTCCTCTTTGCACAATTTCCATTGCCTGATATCCAGCAATAATATTGGACAGTGGCCAGTATACATGAGACACGAAGTTAGTTGCTCAGCAACTGGAATTTATTTGGAACTCTCCACCCTAACTTGCCTTTTCAAGTATGCATATTATCCAGTAGATACTGAACATGGAATCATAGTATGGGATCAGATATGTTTTTCCCCAAGTTGGCTAGTGGTAGCAGTATCAGTGCAAGGGATCTCATGGATGATGATGATGCTCTTGGTATCCTAAACAACTACCAAATTTCTGCATCACCCAATGTTTGTCTCGAGAGACATGAGCTTGGTAGGGATGATGGCCTGGCAAATTAAGAGGAGGAAGATGCAATGGCTTGGTAGGGATGATACCTTACTGGAATCAGCTGACAAGAGGACCTACAGCAGAAGAAATCATAGCTGGTGACAATTGCCAGTTCATCTTGTGAGGCACATTCATTTAAACTTGCACTGCATTTTGAAGGCCTGCCGGGAGACCGAGTAATGCACACACATTCATCCACACAGTCAAGTGTGCATACACACACAGAAGAATTAATTTATACTGGTTAGGTGGATTTGACATCAGCATCATAATTGCCAGCACATGAAGGAGTGCTTAAACTGTGCTTCAGCAGCCTCTATTATTCCCTGCGTTCTGACTGCCTCTCAATGGAAACTTTGTTCTCTGCCACCCTCGTATCCACAAACCCAAGAAGGGCCATGTGAGGTGGGCACCCCTCCCCATGGAAAATAAGATTAGAATGGCTTCAATCTTTGGTTTGCAAGGGAGAGAGAGAGAGAGAGAGAGGGGGGGAGAGAGAAGGCCACCACCCATGGCCCCACCCTCTCCATTCAAAGGGGCTGATGCAATCGTGGGACCTTTGGCTCCTTATGTTTACCATATCCTTTGTTCTCATTGGTTGTCCCAATACAAAGAGCCCTGTGATCACTGTGACCACAGCAGGGATTGCAGGGTGGGGAGGTACATGACCTGGCCCTTACTCCAATGGCAGTCATATGCTGTTGTTTCCTTCTAGGCCACCTTCAAAAGATTCCATCCTCATTATCTCCCAATGCCACACTGTGCATCTCTCTAACACATGGCTGTCTCTTGAAGTGATGGATTCTCTGGCTGTTGGCTGCTTAGGATGATGAGAAAATTGGTCTTCAAATGGGTTTTGGAAGGTAA